TTCTTCCTCAGCAATATGCATATTTTGTCTCCCTCTTGCGCTTGCCGTTTCGTTCCAGAAAAGTCTTCAACGTTGATCCATGTATTTACAATAGTTTACAATAGTTAAAACCGAATTCCTACCATAAGCAATGTTGAACTCTTCGAACAAGTCTATCGTCGACCTTATCAAGGTTAAGCCCCTGCATAGTCTCAACTACCGACGATGGTCATGGATTAGGAAGCATTGGAATTGGACTATGTCCTATTCGATGATCCTGCCAAGTACCAGTTTTCTACTAAAGCTACACAACATCCACCTACAGATCCCCAAGTGACCATTATTGATGCTATTTCTGATCCAAAAGCTTCTGCACTTAAAATATTTGCTTAGTCTCAAGAGGCTCATACCAAGTACGAGAAGGATAATAAATCTGTTCGTGCCACTATCCTACAACAAATGATTGATTGTTTCTTTAACATATTTTATGTACAAAAGTCTGCCAAAACAATTTGAGACTTACTGTATAAAAAATATGATTTTAACGATGCTGGAAGAAAGACGTGCGCAATTGGCCGTTGGTTGAATTTTAGGATGATAAACTCAAGCCAATAGTGGAACAGGTTCACGACTATGAAAATAGTAGTATACATAGTGGCTGAAGGCACACAAGTGAATGCTTTATTTTTGTCTGATGCTCTAATAGAAAAGCTGCCCGTATCCTGGTCAGAGTTCCAGAATGAGCTGAAACACGAAACGAAGGACTACACCATGAAGCAGTTCGTGAATTCTATCAACATTGAAGAAGCAATTTGCCAAAGAAACAAGTCAGCTACTTTTCTGGCAAATTTAAAGGCTAATATTGTTGAAACCAATGCCATGGTGAAAGTTGGTGGTCAAAATAAGAACAACAAAAAGAATTTAAATCCAACAATAACAACTGTTTCAAGAAGGACACAATTCTGAAGAAAGGGAAATGTGGCAGAGGGAAAGAAGGACACTGTGTTGCTCAATGCTACTATCGCAAAGGGATCTCCAATCAAAACACACATAAGTCAAGTATTGAAGAGTCCAAAAATACAGCCAATCCGCGGGAGAATGCAGAGGTAATCTACAATATTTTTATTTTAAAACATGTAGACTTTGAAGATTGTTATCTTCAGGGAATGTGACATTTACTAGAAGCAATCCTAAAAGATTGGAATTAAATAATCTTGAAGATTGGGTCTTAAAGACTAACATTTATACTCTTTTGCAACACATGAATGCATACATATATGTCATGTACTCTTTTCCTCGCTAGATTTTTCTCATTGAATTTTTCTAGTGTGATTTTTAACAAGACATGAGTATGATATAGTAATGTCAATGGGGAAACTTGCAAATAAAAAAAATACTTCAATAGACTAATCCCAAAATCCTGAAGATTTTGCCCTGAAGACTTATGGTTCCACTCTTTTTCCCTTAACTAAGATTTTTTCTCACATGTTTTTCTTAAGTTAAGGTTTTTAATGATGCAACTGAAAGAACACATGCATGCATTACCCATATATCGTGTACTCTTTTCTCGACTAGGTTTTCACAGGGTTTTTCTAGCTAGTTTTTAATGAGGCATGATTATGATAAGATAATGTCCAAGAGGAAGTGTTATAAATATAATTAAGTGTGGACATAATGAGTTGATTATGTAACGGTCCTCGTACTTATGTCTATCATTATTTCTTTCCATTACTATTGTAATTATATATATGCTTTGTAATGTTCTGATAAGGTGTTGCAATAAAAAAGTTAATGCGATTACACTTTATCTCTTTGTCTCTTTTCTTTCCCTGCAATTTCTTGTCTCTCATTATTTGTCATAGATAAGCTTAATAATTGATGGACTAAAATTGGATTTCACAGTTGACACGTAATAGTACTAGCAAGCTCATTCTTACCACTCATGGTGGAGGCGTTAGCTTGCAAGGAGGCCCTATCTTGACTCAGAGAACGGGACGTGTTAACAGTGGATCTTCTTACGAATTGCTCAGAATTGCGGAGTGCTTTACTTTCAGACTCTACAGCCATCCTGTCCTACGTCGGGGTCATTACTGACCAGTGTAGGACATCTATGTCTTTATTTAATCATTGCTCGTTGAGTTTTATTTCTAGAACGGTTAATTTACATGCTCATACATTAGCATCGTTAGCATTTGATCAGGATCATTCTATGTGTTGGGACTCGATCCCTCCTGACTCTATTACTATATTCATTCATTAATGAATCGCTATTATTTGCCTTCAAAAAATAAATACAAAGGAAATGCCTAATCATTTTACTAGATTTTTTTGGGCTGCATTTCATTTTTCAACCGTTTTTGCTTTTTAGCCTTCAATTTTTGACTTTTTGTAGAAATTGTTTGTTTTTGCCGGCCACTTGCATTGACTAATATGTATAGCTCTAAAACTTTTAGATGTAAGTGAAATATTTCGATAGGATTGTGCAAATACTTTATAAATTTTAGTATGAAATTACCAAATATCAAAGGCAAAAATTTGCGTGAGACCAACTCACATATCTTTATCCGTCCGACGGGTCGTGTCAAAATCAAATGTAATACTTATACTGAAAAATGTAATACTAATAAGGAATAAAATGTTTATTACTTATATGGAAAAATGTAATTTTTTTGAAGAAAAATGTAATACATTTGCATTTTGATTTAAAAGCATTACATTTTTCCTCAAAATTATTACATTTTCTCTTATAAGTAACAAACACTTACCAACATTACTTATAAGAGAAAATGTAATTCTTTTGATGAAAAATGTAATAGTTTTACATCAAAATATAAAAGTATTACATTTGTCATAAAAAATATTATAATTTCACGTTTAAGTAATGAACACTCTGTTCTTAATTAGTATTACATTTTTCAGTATATTACATTTTCATATCCACCGACCTGACCCGTCTTACGGATCTCACACAAATGTGATTGTTTATAGTTATAATTAATAATCTTCTAAGAATTAAATTTTGTTTCACCACTTAACCTAAAAACAATTATTTCTTATTTTAAATTAGGGAAAATGACACTTCTTCCCCCTAAGTTATATACTTATAGCACTTTCTCCCCCTGAATTATTCAAGTGGTTGTTTTTCCCCCTGAAATGTTAAATGGACATATTTACCCTTAAAATAAATATTTAAAATAAATATTTCATTTATTTTCCTTCTCCAACAAATTATGACAATAATTTGGTTCAAACCAAACAAACACTATAGCAACCAAACCGAAATATTCCAATTACAATTTAGAATCGAAACTCGATATTTAGAGTTTATTAAAATTGCAAACCGGAACGGACGATTCATGTACCGAACTGAAAAATAAAATATATTTATTGTTGAATTTAGACTATTTAAAATAAAAAAATAAAATTTTAAAATAAAGACGGTTCAAAATTGCGAACCGGATCCAGAACCGCCGATTCACGGTTCAAGATCCAATTTTTTTTATTCATAATTTTAATAAATTGAAATCCAAATATTAGGTTCTAGATCTGAATCATAACCGGAAACTTTTAATTCAATTGCTATAGTGTCCGGTTCAGTTTGATCTGAACCGTGGTCATCCCTACGTATACGCGATAATTTGTTGGAGAAGTAAAATAAATAAAATGTTTACTTTAAGGGTAGAAATGTCAATTTAATATATCGGGGGGGGGGGGGAATCATCACTTTTAGAATAATTGAGGGGGCTAATGTGCTTACCTAAATAATTGAGGGGAAAAAATAGCTATAAGTATATAACTTAGGGGGAAAAAGTGTCATTTTCCCTTTAAATTATCATGGGGCATTTAATATTTGTGTGTGCAGTGGATATTTTTTTCACGAAAGACGAAATCTCTTGTTTCAAGGGTCTCTACACTCAACTTGAAAAGATAATGGATGAATAAATCATGATAACTCAACAACCTCTTACATGAGAATATGTGGATATGTTTGTACTTTGTTTTTGGTAAGATTGTTGCACAATATTCATTATTTTTTGAGATATTATAGTATCATGTTTAGTTGTTGTAGTGGGTACATTTTATTAATTGCATCTGAGATATTCCTTGAATGGCTGATATATACTATATTGTAGCCATTTAAAAAATCATAGAGATTGAGACTAGTCAATAGATATTCAATTCAGTTATATAAATCATTCATAAATGAAAACATCTTAATTTTGTGGCTTTCCACAAATTTGTATTTTAATTATAATCTATGTAAAGATATGGGCTTTTATATTTAGCAATTAGCAAATAGTTGATTATTTTTTTTATTGTGTTAATGGATAATTAATAACTAATTGTGTTAACTGTTTTGAGTTTTGACTAAATAAAATCATTATTATTAGCCGGGTGGCTGCGTCTATGTCATTCTTAATTTTAAATTGTACTGTTAAATAAATTTAAAATAAAATAAGGAATATAACATGATAAATAACAATTTAAAACATTATCTATTTATCTTATAATCTCCCTTAACATCCTATCCTACAACTTTTTTTTGATAACCAAAATATTCAATTTCATCTAACTACATCCTGAAACGTATGAAGTATGAACCTTTCCCAAACCTATTAAGAGGTCAAAGGTGATGAATTGAGCCAATCTTACTTATATGTTTTTGATAACTCATAGTTTTCAACTTTATCAGACCGTATCATGAATTTTATAAACACGCTACAGACCTATTAGCAGGTAAATTGAGCCAGTCTTATTATCTCACTGTCTGAATTTTTCACTCTTTTATCATCCCCATCCTCCTATGCTTTCCACCATGATATATATAGCATCAAATGATAAGTTTAATTGTATCTTCCATTACCCCTATTACATTAGCACTATTTGCGGGAAGAGATCAGAAATTATTGACCCATTATATATTTTTTGACGTTGTAGGTGGTTGAAAACCTGATTTTCATCCACAATCTCTTAATTTTCAATCACTTTTCAATAGTCAGAAATGACATACTTTTCCATCGTCCAAAAGCATATATGCCAACATAGTATTATAAAAATATTACATTAATAGGTTATTTTTGCCATTTTTGAAATATACCAACATGAAGAACATAGCTAGCTAGAGTAGAGTAGGAAATTTAGTATATTTATAATCCCAACATGCTTTATTTATTTATTCTTTCCTCTGTCCCATTTTACATATCATGTCCTCAGCCACAACACGGTGGGGTATAGTCGTCATACCCCTGGAGCTTAGCACGGTGCATGATCGCGCCACAGCACCGCCGCGACGGCTGTATCACTGCAACAACTCCCTTTGCTATGTCGCCTGCATCAACAATGTTCAGTAGCAGTAAAGCCATGGTATCATATCAATATAATATTTCTGATAACTTATTATGTAATTAAGAATAATTCTTGAAACTATAATTCAATCAGCAAGATATATATAAGCTGGCGTGCTTATATGTTTGTACCGTCGACTTCTACTCATACATACCGGAAAACTTCCCAGCGGTTGTTGGGGTTGCAAAAACCAGTGCTGCGGCGATCATTGCAAGAATGAAAAATAGAGAGAGTGGTTTGGACTTCATGGCTGATATGTGTGGTTTTAGTGTGTACACTAAACTAAGATTTGCCTTCTTTTATAGGCCCACTATGAGATGACACCAAGTAGAATTAGATTATACTTGGCTTGATAATCAGGTTCCAAGCTCCATTCATATCAGAGTTTTCTATTGATCTTCTCCGTTTGAACCAGTTAGCTATGCACAACATATGTTAATTTACCTTCTTAAACTAATCAAATATTATACTCCGTAATATAATTGTTGAAATCTATTCCTTTGAGTGAATCCAACAATAAAATATAATTTATATTATATTCCTTATCTATTCCAACTCATACTATTGTTGACTAGGAATAAACAAAATAAAAATACATTAAAAAGCAATAAAAAATATTCAAAACAAAAACATAGTTCAAATAAAAATCATGTATTGCACTAGTAATATATATTTAAAAGAAAACCCCAATGTTACAGAGTCTAATTAAAATTAGAAATTAATCTCATAAATCACAATTATAATCTTACTATTAAGGCCATAAAATAAAATTTATAAAATTAATGCACTAAGTTTTAATTTGAACCTAGAACAATTCACAAACTAACATAAACCTAACCATCTAAGATAATTAATATTTTGGATAAATTTTTGTACATTTAATATTTATACACATTTACTCCGTACATGGATATATAAAGGGTAGGGGGTGGGGGAGGGGGACAGCTGACCCCATTGTGGCTCAGCCCTTGTATGGATCGGAATATTATTCCTATTCCTTCAAAATTCATCATGTGAACCAAACATGTAATAAAAGTTTTAGACTAAAGTGAAATAATTGAATAGAATTGTATAAATACTTTTAAAGTTTAGTACGAAATTATCAAATATAAAAAAAATTCAATGTTGTCTATTTTCATGACGCTAATGTCAACAAAAAAAAAAAAAAGAAAAAGAAAATATGCGAGTAATATATCATATATGACTTTTCTTTTAATTTCAATCCTCCAATAAAATCTAAATGCTTTACGTGATGAAAATATGCGAGAAATCTAAGTTTACGTGATGCTTTTATTGATCTTCCTCAGCTTATATTGGATGAGGAGACTCAGGAAAGTAATCAACAATCACTATATTCGACGGTGTACATTGAGTAAATCAGGCCTTGTAATTATAGTCCGTAAAAAATAAGAATGTAAACCAATCTAGTTAGATTGTCATTGCTGACCGGCTCAAACATGAAAGACTAATTGACCACTCACACTAAAAGTTAGATTAAATTAAACTTATAATATTGTGATTAATATGTCAATTGTTTGACAAACTTGGCTGAAGTTGTCCCCTCCTTAGCTCATATTGTGCCTATAAAAGAAGGCAAAGCTTAGGTGAGTGTACACACAAAAGCTACACATATTAGCCATGAAGTCCAAACTGTAAGACTTGCCCATATAGGCCTTAATTATGTGGTGTAAGTAGACTATGCCCATTAAGTAATTGGTTGGACTGGATATTAGGTTAAGTCTGTATTCCACTAATATGCCTATATAAAGTCTGTATTGATGGGATACATGACATATTCATTATATAGTATAAAGTTATGGTACTCATGCTGCTCAGAAAATACCAGTACACCATTTAGGGTTCTGAGTCAAGTATGGGACAAAACGGCTAATCCTATTCTGCAAATCTACCTGCTACTACGAGTTAAGTTTCTCGTAGATTATTCTCTGTATAGTTAGACCATATTTATATCTCACACAAACCACTCTCTCAATTTGTCATACTTGCCATGATCGCAGCCCTGGTTTTTGCATCTCCAACGACAACCGCTCGGAAGTTGTTAGGTATGTATGAGAAGTTGAGGGTAGATCAGAAACAATCTTAATTCTATACCATTTATTGCTTCAATGCATCTTAAATTTGTTAGAGATTTATACAGTAAATATATGCATGTTTAAATATTTCAAACACGCACGATACTGAACTTAAACAATAGTTTGGGAGTTCTGAAGTTAAAAAATTATTTTAAGTTTAGTGAAAATTTTATTAAAAGTTGTTTAACTTTGAACAGAAATATGATTTCATGTTTATTATTTGCTTAGAAGAGAAGATTTTACAGGTCTGTTGATGCTATCCTAGGTCTGCAGATGATTTTTCAAGAGAAGATTTTTAAGTTTTGATATGTTTTAAAAGTAGGATTCTTAACGAACTCAACATAAACGAACGGATGTTGTTTGTGCACTGTTTGTTTGTTAACATTTTTGAAGTGTTCGTGTTCATGTTCGTTTGTTAAGGTTTTTGAAAATCTTATCTGTGTTCGTTTGTTAAGCGTTCATTAGTGTTTGTTAACATTCGCGAACGTGTTCGTTGATACGTTCACGAAAATGTTTGTTAATGAACACGTTTATAAACATGTTCATTCACGTTCATTAACCCTTAATAATAACCAAATAGATTCACTACATGTTCATGATCACAATTTGTCCGTGAACAAGAAACAATCTATATTCACAAACAATAACAAAATAAACAACACAACTATATATATATATATATATATATATATATATATATATATATATATATATATATATATGCTTAGTTGCTTGTTCATAAAGATGTTCGTAAACATGATTAAACGAACACAAACGAGCTTGTTTACAAGCTCTTAACAAACGAGCATAGAACTGTTCAGACTCTGTCAGTTTATGATTCGGGCTTTAAAATTTGTTAATTTATGTTCGTTTATCTTAATAAGCGAACATAAACGAACCCTTACTGAACATAAATACAAGTAATTGTTGACTCAAAGTGTTTTGTCAAAGTTATGTGCAAAAAGAATTATAGTTCTATAAAGGAATACCAGTCCTACGAGGAATAGTTATTAAAGAATACTAGTTCTAAAAGGAGTTGTTGTTGAAGATTTTCTAGTTCTAGTTTGATTAGGAATAGCTTTGTTATTCACGAATCTGTTAGGATTAGCTACTATAAATAGAGGTTGTCCTTTATTGTAGAATCTAAGCATTCAACATTAATCTTGTGAGGTACGAGAGTCTTTGAGAATAGGATACTAAATTCCCCTAGAAAGTAGTACATGTGTTTAGGTTTCAATAGTTTGGTAGGAAAAATCATTCTATTGTGTAATCTCAGGTTCCAAACAGTGTACTTTAAATATTGAGCTTTTAGTGGATTTAGGCAAGTTCTCAAATTGAGAAGTGCCTCACAGATTACGGTTGTTTGCCCGAACTGCGTTATAGATCGTTTGTGTTACAACGTCAGTTTCAACATCACTGTGTGCTGCGCTTTACAAATTTTCAATTGGTATCAGAGCCAAACTGCTTAAGTTATTAGCAGGATCCTAATGGAGTTTCCCAGAGAAGGACTGTCAAGCACTAGGCCACCTGCCCTCATTGGCACGAATTTTTCCTACTGGAAAGCCAGAATGCAGATATACATCTTGGCACAAGGAGAAGGTGTCTGGAATGCTATAGAAAACGAATGGAAAACTCCAGTTGATGATAAAGGAAATAGAAAACCTAAAATTGACTGGAGTGAAGAAGAAAAAACAGAATATAACTTCAACTCGAAGGCAATGAATGCAATCTATGGAGCTGTGAGAGAAGATACCTTCAAACTGACTGCCACCACTCGCATAGCCAAAACTGCGTGGAGTATATTATGTGATCATCATGAAGGGAACACGTCTGTAAGACAATCCAAATTACAGATGATACAGACAGAGTTTGAAAACTCGAAAATGGAAGAAGAAGAAAATGTCACACAATTTAGTGCCAGAGTTTTAAGCATCTCTGGAGATGCGTTTAACCTAGGCGAACCTATTCCTGAACCTAGGCTCGTCAAAAAGGTCTTACGTTCCCTACCTGAGAGATTTATGATAAAGGTTACAGCCATCCAAGAAAACAAAGATCTAAACACCTACAAACTCAGTGATCTAATGGGAAATCTTCAAACATATGAGCTTGAGATACTGCAAAAAAGGGAAAAATAATGACAAAGGAATTCCGTTCCAATCAAAGCAGAAAGAAAGTCCAGAAATTGATACTGAAACCATGGAACAATCAATTGCTCTCCTAACAAAGAATTTCAACAGAGTTCTCAAAAAATTCAACAAATTTAGAAACAAAAGTGCTTCAATTAATCAAGGGGACTTCCCAACTGGACAAAATCAATCTATTTCAAAAAGAAGAGACAGTTCAAATACAGAAGGAATACAGTGCTATGAGTGCAAAGGGTTTGGACACATCCAGTCAGAATGTGCTACATACCTTAAAAGAAAGAACAAGACATACATGACAACATTAAGTGATGACTCAGACAGTGAAGAAGACACAAACACCAATTTCGTAGCATTCACCGCAAATCATGAAAATAACAACGGAGAAGATATACAAGAATTACTAGAGGCATATACTCAACTACATGCCAAATGGGAACAAATCATCGAAGTAAATCTAGAACTCATGGAAGAAAATTAGTTTCTAAAAGATGAAAAAGATAGAGGAGAAAAACGGTTCAAAGAAGCTCAAAATGAATTATTAGACTCCAAAAACAGAGAGGCAAAACTGCTACAAGAAATCAAGGCTCTAACTGAAAGGCCTAGGACTCCAATCTCAGCCTCCAGTGAAAACCAGCAAACAGAAAATTCTGAGGTGTCACAACATCACTTCCAACATCGAAGAAGAATTAGATGCTACTACTGTCACAGACTCGGGCACATCAAAGCATATTGTTTTAAAAGACAGTATGATCTCCAATACAGACATAACAACATGACCTGAACTGGACAGGCTCGAAATCAGAATAAGAAAATCTGGGTAAGAAAACAACAAACACAAGCTGTCGTAGTGTCGCGTATACCTCAGAAACAAGCCAAGAACAAAGTGTTTGGTATTTTGATAGCGGATGTTCAAGACATATGACAGGAAATCCACATTATCTTGAGAACATCCAGTACAAAAATGAAGGGCATGTCACTTTTGGAGATGGAGGAAAAGGACAGGTTATCGCAAGCGGTACTTTGAATGTCCATGGACTGCCTAGATTACCAAGAGTC